CTCCTCTTTCCTCTGTCATGGGTGGCAGAACCCATCGCCATCCATGTTCTTTCTCTCTCCTCTTTCCTCTGTCATAAACGGTGGAACCCATAGTCGTCCATGTTCTTTCTCTCTTCTATTTTCCTTTGTCATGGGCGGTGGAACCCATCGCCGTCTATGTACTTTCTCTCTTCTTTTTTTCTCTTCTTCTTTCACCTTTCTTCTTCTCTCCCTTCTCTTCTCTTACTCACTTCTCTTCTCTCTCCTTTCTCGTTTATCTCTTCTCTTTCTTTTCTTCTCCTTTCCTTCTCTTTTCTCCTATCCCTTTTCCTCTCTCTCTCTTTCTCTTCTACTTTTCTTATCTCTCCTCTCCTCTCTCTTTCTTTTTCTTCTTTCTCTCTCATTTGACCAAGGGACAAGTCTAGTACTATCAGGATAGTCTCTTCATCAAGTAGTATTGCTGTTGTGCCAGTCTAAGTTAACGTGACCATCTTACTCCACGTTGAACTCGTTGTGCCAGGCTGGTTGGTGTTGGTGTTCTGTCGTCGAGTAGTATTGTCGTCGTGCCGGTCCGCGTTATCGTGCCCATCTTGCTACCACGTCAGGTCAATCATCATGCCAATCTAGCCATGGTGCTAGGCTAGTTACCCGGTCAAATGTCTCTTTCTTTTCTTTTCTTCCCTCTTTCTCCTTCTCCCAACCCTCATCTCATCATTTCTTCTCTTTTCTCCTTTGAATGTGTACGCCTATGTACATTCGCCTATAGACAAGGTGGGTTCCCTCGGCCCACTTGTCCTGTAAAATTAACCATGTGTGTGTGATTACAGAAACAAGAGAATATAGGCCAAGTGAGGTGATTCTGAACCAGTTGTAGAACTGGGGGGCTTTTTTCATGAGCTAAGAGGGTGCCCACGCAAGCCAGCCCGAGTAAGTCCGGAACCCACCTTAAATTCCTCTCTCATCAGTTGATATACATGCCCTTGTTCCTTAGCAAGGTTCACGAGAGAGCGATCTCAAGTCCTGGATTCCCTTCGAAACCCGAGATGCATGTCACCAGATCATCTAGATTCGAGGGCGAGATCGAGGCACCTAACCAACAATGTTAGAACAGACTACAACCTTGATAACCAGCTAATTGCACCACCTCCCATAAAAAAAACTTACCCAATAGTAGTCCTTCTTTTATCTAAGTCTCCTGCAAAATTTGCATCAATAGAACTAGTGATTTTCAAATCCATTTCGCGATAACAAATACCAACATTGCAAGTTTCCTTCAAATACTAAAGAATCCATTTCACAACAGTCCAGTGATCATGGCCTACATTTGCTATATATCTGCTCACAACTCCCACTGCATATGTTATGTCAGGTCTAGTGCTAACCATAGCAAGCATGAGGCTCCCTACTGATGACGAATACAGTACTCAAGATATTTGTGTCTTCTCTACTTCTTTGCTAGGACAATGTTTCGAAGACTTCATATCCACAGAAAATGGGGTACTAACTGGTTTGGTATTCTGCATATTGAAGCACCACTTTTCACATAACTCTTCTGAGTTAACCTGCTTTTCTTCTTCTTCCTATCTCTAAGTACACTCATCCTGTTGATTAACGACTCCCAAATCTTTCATCTCAAATTCCCTAGCGAATTGAGCTTTAAGTGTTGCAATATTCCCTTTATTTGGTCTTGCAACAATCATGTCATCGACATATAATAATAAGATAATAAAACTTCTATCACCATATCCGTAAAACTAGGAAAAATGGTCAGCTTTACATCGACGAAAAATTCAAGCTCAACATGAAAGAGTCAAATCATTTGTACCGACACCTCGACGATATTTTCAACCCATACAATTTTTTTGAGCCTACAAATCAAATTCTCTTTATCTTCCTCAATAAAACCCTCAGGTTGAGTCATATAAATTTCTTCTTTTAAGTCACAATGCAAAAATACAAATTTCACATCTAATTATTCCAAATCTAGATCAAGCATAGCAGTCATGGCCAAAACAACTCTAATAGTAGACATGCACACAACAAGAAAAAAAATCTCATCAAAATCAATACTTGATTTTGAAGCATAGCCTTTCACAACCAATCGAGTTCTGTACCTTTCAACTATATCATCAAGAACTTTTTACTTCTGCAAGACCCACCTGCAACCAATTGCCTTTCTCATCTCTAGTAATTCGATGAGGTCTCATGTTTTATTTTTTCGCATGGCCTCATCTCTTCTTCCATGGATGCTCTCCATTTATTGACTCCATCGACCTTACATGCTTCACAAAAAGAAACTGACCCACCCTCCTCTGTTAGGCAATCATTGGACAAGATATAGTCGTTAAGCCGCACATGATCTTTTTTAGGCCTATCATATTTTCTTAATTCAAGATCTTAAATATTCTTCAAGCTCTTGAACAATTTCAGGTTCTTGCTTCTAACCATTATCTTGCTGGTTCTAATTGGTGTATTCCACGTCAAAAGTGTTTGCATCTTAGTCATCTTTCTTTTTCTACATGGAATTTTTATTGAAAATAATATCTCGACCAACTATAACCGTGTGGTCAGTAGGGTCCCACAATTTGTACCCCTTTGTACCATTAACATAACCAAGAAAAACACACTTATTGTAATTTTCATCCAACTTAGTTCTTTTCTCCTTTGGAATCAAAGAATATGCATCATAACAAAAAACACAAAGGAAATAATAATCAACTAGTTTACCTATCCAAAGATCTTCTGGTGTCTTGTAGTTAATAGCAAAAGCAAAAGACCTATTAATTAAGAAACAAGTTGTACGAATTGTTTCTTACCCATAAACATTGCTCTAACCCGAGAACACTCAACATACACTTGGCACACTTCATAATGGTACGATTCATCCTCTCAGCAGCACCATTTTACTGAGATGTTTCAGGAACTGTGAACTAGCAATACCATGCTCACTACAAAAATTATTAAATTCACTAGAACAAAATTCTCCCCCATTATCAGTTCTTAGACATTAGACACTCTTACCTTTTTTATTTTCTACTAAGGCCTTAAATTTTTGGAAACAACTAAAAGTATCTGAGATCTTTTTCAACATATAAACTCCTACTTTTCTTGAAAAATCATCAATGAAAGTTACAAAATATGCAGCACCCCACATATAAACAAGTGATTCACATGTGCCCGAATGAATCAATTCCAAAAAATCCTTACTTTTAGTGGTGGATAAAGCAAAGCGAAATTTGTTTTTCTTTTGAAATAAGCATGACTCACAAAAAACTATATTAAAAGATTTTAAACCAATGAGAAGATTTTTATTGAGATGTACCTTGAGTTCAAGCTCACTCATATGGCCAAAACGTGTATGCCATGTCATTTACGGAGTTCACCCTGCAATATCGGCCTCCCCCAAAATTGCTTCTCCAACAAGTCTGTATAAAGCCTGTTAATTATCATTTTGCAGCCACTATTACTCCTTTTGAAATTTGTAGATATCGTTTTTCATTTGTAAACTTGAAACCTTCCTCATCAAATTTTATTAGGAAGAAAAATTTTATTAGGAAGAAACTCTGCCTTCATCAGTATTTTTTAGCTTATCAATAAAATCTTTTGTGAAAATTTCTAAGGAGACATTGAATAAAACAAGCATCTTTATTTTCTTTGCCTTTTAAAGCCACTACACAACCATCTTTCATCAATACCGCATACATCTTTAATTTCCAAATTGAGAAATATGAACTGTCAAATTTTGATATTTTATATCTAGTTGAACTTTCCTCTAGCCATTTCAAAGATCTACGATCTGTCACAAACATTGTGCCCAACAAGGATATTAAATAACCCTAAAGCTCTGATATCAATTGTAGATGATAAAAATCAAGGTTTACTAAAAATAAAGAAAAGAAAAATAGTGTAGAAAAATAAAAGAAAAGATACAAAGATTTATATGGTTTGGCATGTTGCCCACGTCCACGGGGCAGCAAAGTTCTCTTCCATTTATCAGATAAATATCATGCAAACATGAAAAATAAAAAGGTTACAACCTCTCTCTCTCAAGCTCTAAAAGATGATCTTTCTCTCTTTAAAATACCCACCCAAAAAGACTAAAGAACTAACCCTTCTCTCTATATTTTTCCTTGCATAATAACCTCTCTACAAAGCGAAGAAACCATGGGAGACCCATACCCATCTTCTTAACCCCTTTCTTTTAGGAATGACATAGTTTCATCTCTTTCCATAGATTCACATTTATCACAATCACATTTATCACAAAAAATATGGATTCACATCCCATATAATACGGAACCACACATAGGAAGTAATATACGAGTTAAAAGGGCATCACGTACATCCCAATTTTGTGGGGATTAACCTGCCTTAAAAGATGGCTTCACCATGTAATTTTTGAAGGTAAAGACAAAGATTGAGAAATTTTTTTTTTTGGCTTTAAATAACGAAAATAATTTCCGACGGAAATACGTTTATCCCAAAATTTTGATCTGAACGCCATAAATGTGTATCTCCACAGAAAAACATTTTTGAAAATATATTTTCAAGTATCCTACTAGCCTCTAAATTGTAATAGTTAGTATATGCATGGACATGATCTGTGAGACGCCCCATGGTTAACGGGTTCAACCACGCAGTATAGAGCTTCACTGCAATCACAGGACCAGTTTTGAAACCTCAAACACACTACTAGACTACTTTTGTCCTTTTTTATATTCTTTTAAGTAGTAGAGCATTGGGAGTCGAACTTGAGATGTGGCATTTGCCAATATCAAAGCCTAACAAACTCAAGGCCAAGTCCGATTCTTAACATCTGACCAGCACCCCTATATACCACAAATTTGACAACAGAGCAAACTGTACTAAGACCGCATTTATGTCTCGCAAATATTTGTGGAGCAAGACAAGACCAGGAAATAACAGATAACTACAAATTCATAGCCTGGGACTTGGGATCATCAAGTACCAAGGCCACGTCAAATGATATTTGTCCATTGTTCAGCAGAACCGGAAGGAAATTGGCAAAAACAACACACAAGGCAACCCTCTCTTCACATTAAGAACACAAGGTTATAAATACAAGGAACAAAAACAGGTTAGTCCATCATACACATGCACTCGGGACAAAGAGGATGCCGATAGATATTCCTTCCAGCAGGCCTTATGTGAACGTTCTTACTCTGTCTAACCGCTTTCCTCACGCTCTTTTCAAACACTTTCCACTCTATTTTGTTGTTCTTGACGAAGATGCCAGCTAGTCGACGCTTATTTGGTCGTACAGTGGGTAGCTTACCACCACCATAGTACATCCGATATCCTGACACAAGGGATGAGAACCGACTCCCTGAGTCAGTCATTGCAAATGCATCGGCAGCAGCACATCCTATGAAATCCAGGGCAGCAAGCTGCAAAAAAGCAGCAGGATCAACATTGGAGATGAGACCAACTACAAGAATCATAACTTATAAACTATTTGGAGTCTTAAGCTTCAAAGTGTTTTAGCCACAACCATTTGAAGGGTGCAAATAGCTGAAATATCTCATCTAGTTCTATTTCTTAGCGATCATTCAAAAATAATGACGGATTTCCCCCAGGTTTCTTTTGAAATTCGTCAAGAAATAGGCTGAAGTATGAACCTCGGAAAAATATTTGGAGGAAGCTGAAAAAAATAGGCAAAAACATTTGGACCTTCGCTCAAAACTCCTGAATATTCATAGACTAAATATGATCTGTGACAGCTAAAGTTATTTAATCCTGAGTCCACAATTGGCCTTCATTATTTCTATCTATTTTTTCATGAGGTGATTGAGAATATGTTTGAGTTCCCATCTACTTAACTTTATACAAGGGAAGTGATGACCAAAACAAACATTGCTCTTACCTGAGATGAAAAGTTTTTGAATGGCCTTATCTCTTCTGATGAAAGAAGATCTTCTTTAGTCACTAAGTTGGGATACAAACTAGTCAGTGCAACCATCCGTGACTGGCCCCCATAGATATGTGCTCCTGCTACAAATATATGTGATTCACGTTTAAATCCGAGAGCTGCAAGCACAAGAACGGCTTCTTCGGGTGTCAGTGGACACCTTCCTTCAGACCGCAGGTCTTCAGGAGAAGGTAGCCTGTGGAAGAACAAGTAATTTACTTATCAGATGAATGTCCTATAAAATTGTAAATCAATAATCCATTTTGTACAAAGCCAAAAATAATGAATGAATGAATTATACAAGTGAAGGATAATCACCAGTCAAATCTAAGAGGCTTACATTGTGCTTTTTTTGAGAAGGTACAAAGCTGGAAAATGAATTGATCGATATAATTCAAGTTCCTCTCTCTCAGCTTCTACCCCGCCGAATTCACACATAGAGTAAGCCACCATGTCAATTTCAAACCGCAAGTGTAGAGCTAAATATTTCGAGGCTTTCACTGGAATGTGATTTTTCCCTTTCTCATCTGTATCAACTGCAAAATGACCCAAAAGGTTTCGATCTATCGGACCCCATCGGGGAACATATTGATGCATTCTTTGAACTATCAAAGCCCCGGCTTCTTGAATTTTGTGAACAAATATAAGAGCATGAAAATTGCATCTGCATCGAAGTTTCTAATCGATTACTTTGATTAGAATAAAGTACACCAAAAGCAGAAATACATAAAAGGAGCGATTCCAATCCAAAAGAATTGGAACCTGAAATCTTATTTATCAAAACTGACATGATAGACCCATCATGCAGCAAACAAGGGAATCTAAAGTCAATAATCTGGGGATATAAGAGAACAATGTGCATATATACAAGCATAAAGTACACACCCCGTGCCTAAGAACATGCATAAAGCCATATATACAGAAAGACACCCATAGCATGCATAGTTTTGCATATGCCAATAAATTCACAAAAAACAATGCTCAAAAAGCTCAATGATTGAACAAAAGATTTTCTTTAATCAACTAAACAGGGACTTGACTTGAGTCCCAAAACACTCATGCTTGCTTGAGCAAAGACTACGAGATTGGACTAGGTGAGTCTTAGAACTAAAGAAAGTCCTCAAAATTTTAGGAGGAATGTGAAGAGCTGTCAAAAAAGTTGAAGTCAACTTTTATATGTAGGGCATTCGGCAGAAGAGGTGTTCTCTGGGCAGATCTCATCCACCAAGGATACTGAAATTTCCTAGCACCAAAACAACCCTTGATGCAAGCAAAGTTTCAAAAATACCCAAGATTTTATTTTGGAAATGTATTTTATGTTCACAATTTTTCTAAGGCATTTTAAATACAAACACATACAACTTGTTTGTTTTAGATTCAATGTAAGAATATCTCTAGCCACCACATTTGTAGGCAATATAAATGTCCTAGAACATCAACCAACTAAGATGATGGTAGACATGGCTGCATGTAAACGAATGCCCAAGGCTGTTGAAGACATGACCCAAGTAAAATACATGCAACAGGAGAGTGCCAAAGAATAATAATGCCATCATGTATGCCGAATTATCTGACAAGCTTACCTGCAATTCAAATGGTATTGGGTCGAAAGCTAAGCGATTTCCAAACCCTACAAAGTGAACCACCCGTGTTTGTATCAGAAGAGGGAGAATCTTTCTTAGGAAAAAACTTGGCTTGGACTCCTTCATGATATCATTATCTGTAACCTATTGAGAAAGAACACCACCACAAGTTAAATTAATATGCAGAGAATACCATGGTACTTCAAATCGCATTCAGCGACATGAAAGGATTTAAAACAAAATAACTTACAACACTACCAATTGCTTCCAAATCTAATGACTGCAGCTCCACCGGGAGTTCTTTAACAATCTTGATATCTTCTTTCAAGTAGTTGATAAAATGGTCTTCCTGGTAAATATCGCTGAACTGGCTAAGAAAGTATAAATAAGATCAAAATCCATTCCTAAAATGTTGCAGAAAATTAGAATATTAACAAAAGAATCTAAATCCAAAATAATATTAGCATGAAAATCTAAATCCATAGCTCATGAAATAAATGCACATCAACATAGACAAGGAACATCTTCCATATTCTAAAAAGAGTGGTTTGAAAGACAAAACTTATGGTAGCCCATTTTATTTGTCTCTTATTGACATTGTCAAGATAAAACCCGGAGTCAAACTCAAAGTACATTCCAATCACTAAAAATCATCATCATCCAAGCTTTATCCAAACCATTTGGGGTCGACTATACGAATTTTGTTCGACCATTCTGCTCTATCAAGAGCCATACCCTCAATCGGACCGTGAGTCACCATATATTTTCTCACGACTTCCATCCCTGTCATTTGGTGCCTTTCCCTTGTCTTTTTAGAGCCTTCCACTTGAACCAAATCACCCCTCCTAATCGTTGCTATTTTAGGTTGACGCTGCAGTCTATTTTACCGCATTTTATCGCCTATTGAAGCTAGCCCTAAATTCCCTTGAATGCATTCATTCTGGATTCTATCCTTCCTTGTCTTGCAACTCATCCATCTATATCCTCACCTCAGCTAGACTCATTAAATAGACACAATTGATAATCAAAATGATTGTCAAAAATTGCAAGTCAACTTCAGTTTTTTGAGAAAGCCCTTGGGAAATCGAAGAATAACAACTATAACCAATTCTGTAAGGAGACTAGAGGAGACGTCGAAGCCCTGCCTGATCATGGAGGTCAAAACGACAGAAGACATAGACGGAGTGTGAAGATTACAGAGGTTAAGAGCTCTTGATGGTGACCAATATATAGTGGATAGTTGTAGGATGTTCCTGAATGCATGCCTTCATACAGTTTATTCCAGATGCCCAAACACAACTTCCATCATTAGATGGTCCTTGAGAACTTAACACATGTGGTTACAGTTGATGTGAAGCTGCAAGAAGGTGCAATGGTATCCTTCCAGATCGATTACGTGGTAATGGAAAACAGAATTTTACACTATGGCAGCCAAATGACAGATCGAGAGATGAACTTAGACTGGACGTACAGAATGGACACTCTAGGAGTGATTAAGACTGGATAAGAATATAAAGTATGGAGATATCCATCCATGGATGGCCGTGGACACCTTCGGGTCTGGAAAATTTTGGAAATATAACGTCTTCAGCCAAGTGACCAACGTCCAAAAACAAACAGAAACAGAGAGAAGGGCATGCGGCATGTGCCTCAAGGGCATAACGTCATAAGATTGAACAAAGACCGTCCTATTTTCAGACAGTCGGATCTATGTTAAAGAATTCAAATTTACTTTTTTAATAAAAATAATCGTCTAGTGATTCTTAGGTGGATCCCAAAATTTCAGATCGAAAAAATCCTCCTAAGCAGCTCTTTCACCCAAGGGACTGAGTGTACAATATACTCCCAAGGAAGCATGTTGTACACACTCTTCTTTTAAATTAGTAAACCAATCCTACCCTCAAGATTTGGTTCTACAAACCACTAATAGACATTCTCTCCATAGTTACCGAAAGCGATTCAGAAATTAAATTGATTTAAAAATAGGAAGTGCAGAATCGCTGCCAGCTGGAAGAATCCTGTTTTTTTATTCAACTTTCGTACAAAAGGAATCGTGGGGGACGAGATTCCTATGTTTAGGAATCGAGATTCGACCAAAATACAAGTGAGAGCCCTACATAGATGGAATCGAGAATCCTAGCTCTTTGAAATCAAGTTTCTGACCTTGTGGAAATCCACCAATATGGAATCAAGATTCCTTCATTTATGGAGTTGAGATTCCGATATCTTTGGAACGAAAAGGGAACTTAGAGGGAAACAATACATGTCTCAATGCCATTCATTGACCAACATGTCATACATACGCATTTACATTATTTGTATTACATTATTTCTGACATCTTGGAGTTGCAACCTCTACATTGGATCAATACAACACATATTTAAATAATTAAGTAGAGAACATGGACCATCAATTTAGTTTCTATCGGTCATTTCATGACTTAAAAGATGACTAGACCTTGACTTAAAAGATGACTAGACCTTGTAGCTTGAGATTGTGTGTCTAGCTAGAGTAGTTTGATGCCTTGAAAACATCTAAATTATTACTTCTTTGAAAAAGGCAAAAGGAAAAAAACAAAGGAGGGGGGGGGGGGGGGAGGCATGGTAGAATTCCAGTAAATGTAGAAACTAGTTTCAACAAGTGTAAAATCAAGATTCACCAATTGCGGAATCGAGAATCAGTAAATATTGAAAACGAGATTTTGCAAGCGTTGGAGTCAAGATTCCTAAAATAAGGAATTGAGATTCCAAACTTCTCGAAAACGAGTTCTACGACGATTCCTAGTCAAAATTGCTGAATCGAGGTTCTAAATCAGAATCACAACCTTCATAAGAGAATAGGGTAACTATGATTCTCTCCACAAGTTCAAGCGAACCACATCAATTCTAAAGGAACATGATTACCAATAATCTGCAGATAATTTTCCTTCAAAGGTAGGGCTATAGGATACCTTCCTTACCAATTGGATCAATTCCCTGTTAAAATGTACCTATGGTAGTCAAAGCCACATCCAAAAATCCCAAATAGACCCTTAGGAAACTTCTTATCCAAGGGCTAAGCTCACCACCATGGGCACTTTATTAGATGCATAGTAAGAATGAGCTTCTCAAAAATGATTTGCATACAAAGATATTTAAGCAATCTCCACATGGCGATCTACGTCGTCAATATATTCCACCACCAACAAACTGTGCTTTCTAGTCTCAAAGAAGATCCTCAAGTTTTTTTTGAAATGTTTCAAGCCATGGTGCTTCAGGAGATTCAGGTGATAATTCGAAGGTTATTCATCATTCAAGTGTAAAATTCTTATACCTAATTTATATGTATTATCATTCAAGTGTAAAATTCTTATACCTGATTTATATGTAGCCGACATTGCAATTGACAGCACACTCATATCTTACCTTGAGCATATTTTATCACCACATCTCCAGAAGGATATCTGGTCCCTTTCTTATGCTACACTTGAAATTACAGTAAGGAACTTATCAACATTAAGCAATATGTAAGATCTCATAGCTAGGGACCATGCATGATAAACAACAGATACACCTCTTGAGAAGAATGCAATGCACTCAGCAAAGGATAACAATCATCGCCATGATATAATTTACATCTTCTTCTTGTAAGTAATTACTCATTTTGTGCAATCACCTCCAGCATCCACTTGAATAGAATTCACCGCATCAACCGATACATATATTAATGTAGACATAGGGCTAACCCTGCATTAGTGTCGGGTACTTGTCACCATTAAAGGCCTTATGAGAGCATGTAATCAACATTTGATCTAGTGGAACAATGAACTCCAGTGGGAGTATGGTCTACAAGGACTGTGGTAGGCAAATGCAATTTGTCGAGACTCAGACTAGGCTTAACACGCAAGGACAATCGAGTTGGAAAACCCTTAATCACTTAGGCATATAGCAAAACGGAGGAGGGTTAGCAGGGTTATACCTTGATGAGGTCGGAGTTGCCTAGGGTAGTGAGTCAAATGACTGTGTGACCTTTGTGTGTGATGGTAGGCCTATAGGGACAAGGGTCAAAGCCTCATCTTGAACCATAACAAAACAAGTACTTATGATAGCCGTGTCACGAAAGAAAATCACCATTAAGGGTGATAAATATACATGTGCAACAGATGACCCCTATGCACTATAGAGTTGTGGTTACACCACGTCTATGTGACCTTGGACTTGTCCCTAAGAGAGAACCTGTAATCAATAGACTGGGATTATGTCCCCTCACCTATTAGGTGACTTTGGTAGCCCAATCATGAACCCCTGTGATGGTCTGTAGGTCATAGGAACTGCTAGGTCAGTTTAAAAAAGTGAATGTGGATTATAGTCCGCAGTAGAAGATGGAACGCTTCAACAAATTAATAATTCCTTAACATAGTTAGATCTGAATCCCATCAAAATTATTTAGAAATAACTATTTTGATGTTAAAAGATTTTTAGATAGATAGTTTGAATTTTTAGAAGTCTCTGGATATTTTATTTTCTCACAATGGATTTATAAATAGAGAGATTGAATTTTCAGTATTTTAATATTCAGAGAGAAAAATAATATCTTATTTTTAAAATTAATTTCAATAATTTAAAAATTTCTATTACACATGGGGGCGCATTACACCTCATGGGCCCCAATAAATTAGAACTTTTGGGTGATGCGTGGGGCCCACTAGAGGCCCCATGAGAGGCATGCCCCACATATATGTTCTAGACACCCCCCCAGAAATTCTGGCTAAGGAAACTCCTAAAAACCTCGATTCTGAATCAAAAGGACCACACAAGCCTTAGTAGACCACAGGCAACCTAGACCCAATATAATTACTTCAAAACTGCCCAAAACCTACTCCAACTTGAAGTAGAGCCCGAGAGCATTCCAACGGTCAAAGAATCGCCTAATCCGACCTACGGATAAAAAAATCCAACAAATGACAATTTAGTCACCGTAAGACCCAAGTATTGAGCTGTAGGCCAAGCCGTGTCAGGCCCAAGCATGGCCTAATGACTCAGTAAACGCGTTTTCTTTAATTAGATACGAAAAACTTCAAAATAAATCCAAAAATTCCGAAAAAAATTCCAAAAAAGCCAAGAAATGTCACCAATTAAATCCTATAAATAACCCCTGCCATAAATCAAAAAAGACCAGAGAGAAAAGAGATCAAGAAATCCCTTGGAAATTCTCGAAATTCGGAAAATAGCCCAAAAATTGGAAAAACCCCTAAAAAATTCTTAAAAATTAGGAAAAAATCCCAAAAAATCACATAAAATCCAAGACTTCATATTCAACCTTTGGAGATCCCAAAACCCTTAGAAAACTAAGGAAATTCTTCTCCAATCCCAAGAAATCCCCAAGAAAAGC